GCATGATATCATCTTGGACTGCACAGACTGTCCTGCGACACGCTGGCTGCTCTCCTCAGCCTGTGCTACTGCGAGACGCCCCTTCGTGTCGGGAGCGGCCATGGAAAGGTCTGGCCAGGTGACTGTCTATTGCAGTGGAGAGGCGGGGCCTTGCATGCGGTGTGTGTTTCCGGAGCCTTCTGATGGTGGAGGGGGCAGAGGGGGATGCGACACTCTCGGAGTATTCCCTCCTTTGCCTGGCATGATCGGCTGTGTGATGGCCTCAGAGGCCCTCAAGCTTGCCCTAATGGACGGTTCCCAGCTAGAGGAGGCCAGCCTATCGGGACGCCTGTTGTTGGTGGATATGCTAGACGGAGGCCTCTCTACGAGGACAGTAGCGTTGAAGCGGCGACCAGACTGTCCGGTGTGTGGGTGGACGGAGGAGTCTGCCGCGGCACAAGACCGTAGTGATGCTAGTAGCCTACATGATGATGGCGATGGGGTACAGTTGCTGCCAGCTGTCAACAGTATCGGCCCTAAACAGGTGAGCATCTTCTTCACGAGGGCCGAGGAGATAGCCATGTTGTGTCGTCAGTTACGGCACCTCATGCTTGAGAGCCCATCAGCAGCCTGCCTGGTCATCGACGTTCGACCCAAACCACAGTTCGACATGGTCCATCTCAGAGGCAGCGTGAATGTCCCTTATGAGGACTCTCAGGAGTTCGTGGATAAAGTGAAAGCCTTGCTTGAGGACCATCGTCCGAACACTGCTGTTGTGTGTTGTCGGAAAGGTAGCCAAAATACGTCTACGGAGTTAGTCTCAAACCTCCCCCTCCCCCCTGCAGGTAACGACAGCCGTCTTGCTGTTTGTGCATTGCAGACGTCATTCAAGTACCTATTGAATTTAGATGGCGGCATCATGCAAGCCGCTAAGGAGCTGGGTGTCGCTGGGAAGCACCTATTCGTCCCGTAGTTGGCCGTCCATCGATCTGGCGGTGGCCATCGCGTTCATTTTTTTGCGACTTCCATCAGTAGTTTCCGAACCACAGTTTGCGTGTGATGTACCATAAGTGCATCATTAGTTTCTATAACGACTCTTGGAAATTTTGGATTTCGGTCAAAGGTGGGGTGGGGG